ATTTCAAACATATTAAAAGCCTGTTGGGACTTTTAATTTGAACCTCCCTTTCCTTGTATTGGGAAAAGAGATCGGGGGAGAACAGAAAACGAGAATTTGAAAAGGACTACGATTAGAAAACGTGTTCTCCCCGTTGTGTTCAGAACTATTACTGTAAGGTGGTCATACTCTTTATATTACGGCGGGCCAGATTTAGTATGACTTCACAATATTCAGGCCAGATACCATAACAGTGAGCAGTTATGGGGAGCAAGATGGCAAAACCCGAAAGGTAAATTTAAGTTACTTCCATATTGAGAGATATTGTTAACAAATGTATAAAATCAAGTATTTTTATAGCATGAGAAACTGGCGACCACTTCTTAAGTGTGTAATAGGAGAATATAGCACTTGAAAAGACAATATAATCATAACAAATACACATATATGAAATATTAAAAGTATCAATTTACACATAAAAGAATGCTATACAAAGAAGACAAAAAAGCCATTTTATATTTTAAGAAAATCATAGTGATATTCATAAAGATGACATGCAATCCATTTTCGATTTTGCCTAAATCTCTCTGCTGGTATCATTTGATCTTACTCATGCAACGAATGGATGTGAATCTGATAAAGAGCTTGAGCGTATATTGCCACTGAACGGCGCCTGGCCCTGACCCAGCATATGAACCTCAGAAAAACGCAGGAAATTTGCGCTGCAACGATATTTGGAGAATGCGTGTTCAAAGGGGATGTAATTGCCAGATTCCGTTTATCGAATATTTTGTTGATTTAATCTTTTATCTATAACAAAAAAAAAAATCACTTTAATGCACTGCAGTCATCAACGCAGAGTGCAGTGTTTGTTAATACTAGCGGAATTCACGTTATTGATGGCGGTTTGAATTGACAAAACATCTAATAGAAACATGTTGGACGATTCGCACATACGCTTCATATGTTATCAGATCTGCTATTTTTAGACGATATTGGTTTCGCAGTTGATATCACGGTAGCGCAAAGAAGTTTGAGGTGAATGAAAGAAAGAGTGATGGAAAATATTGCAGAAGTTTGCGGAAGAGACGAGCTAGTGAACGGACATAGGGACACGCGCTGTCCGTGACGTCAAAGGTTACTCCCGCCTTTCCCGAGTTTCTAATTTCTTAAGAGGCTGCGACGCTTTAGGGGTGGATGTCGTTTTAAATCTAGTGGTCATATTGCTTTCATTACATGCGTGAATTCATATGTGATATCGAAGGGTAAGATTAATATTCTCGCTCTCTCTCTCTCTCTCTCTCTCTCTTCTCTCTCTCTTCTCTCTCTCTCTCTCTCTCTCTCTATCTCTCTCTATTCCTCCCTCACTCCTCTCTCTCTCTCCTCTCTCTCTCTCTCTCTCTCTCCCTCTCTATCTCTCTCTCTCTCTCTTCTCCCCCCTCCTCTCTCCTCTCTCTCTCTCTCTATCTCTCTCTCTCTCTCTCTCTCTCTCTTCTCTATCTCTCCTCTCTTCTCTCTCTTCTCTTTCTCTCTTTAAATCTCCATCTCCCTTCCCTCCTTCCCTCCAGCTAGCCATAGAGTGTCATAAGGGAAGTCACAGTCGTGGCACAAGTGTTAGCACCGCCGAACCGCGGTTGATGAGTAAGGTCATCCAACCATGCAAGGGACCTTCTTAATAGGATGAGAGAGGCCTAAAGTTCCTACAGTTGAATTGAATGGTGTTGTGTGTGCGTGCGTGCGTGCGTGTGCGTGTGGTTTCGTGTTTGTGTGTGTGTGCACTGATTGTTTTACGTCACAAACTCCTTCGTAAGGATTGGGGCAAAACCTTTATTCAAAGACTTTGATCGGAAGACCGTTATTAGATGATTGCCCTACCTAAACTCGGACCAGGAACCGACTCACTCGCTGGATGGCCTTTCTATATAATAAAATTCTTTAAGACATAATACAAACAGATTTCTATAACGCACTTCAAAAGCTTAGATCATAGACCATCTCTCTTTCCGCTATCAGAGTAACCACGAGTGAGATAAAAGTAATCTAATTGGAAATAACAAAAGACGCGACGTTCTTTTGTTCTCTTTAATACCCGCACACGAGAGCTGAAAGTGGGACTTTTTTGACTGGCTTTTGTCCGTTGTGTCACAATAGCATTTACACCTTCGCCCTTCATCTCGCCTGTTCCCGACCTCTTCAAGCGACCCTTTCCTATCACTATAACCACGCAGATGATAGATTATAATGAGGGTGCGAGTCAGTGTGTGTTATTCAGAATAGGGGCTTGAGAATAATAATTTTGAAATTGCAGATGCGGAGTGTAGTATTGAGAAGAGATGTTAGATGAAAGTTAAAAGAAGCTAGAAACATCACAGCAACGCCCGGGTTACCCTTTACGGTTGGACATGCTAGTTGAGTAACTTCAACATTAATCTTCCTTGATCTGAAGACTTGCAAATGATTCCATTAGTTGCTTAACATAGCGTAGTCAAATCGTATGAAGTAAACAATTAATCAATTTTAACGTATTGCAACCTGCCACATTTCCAAGATGAAGAGATATGCGACTATTGTGTGCAACCGCCAGCTCTTTGCATTAAAAAAAAAAAAAAAAAAAAAAAATATAAAAAAAAATAAAAAAAAAAAACAAAAAAAAAAATTGTCACCTGAAAAGGGCAATCTACAGACAAATAGCCACAAATTGGCAGCGGAAATCTCATATCAGAGCTGAATTTTTTTAAACAAGATCTCAGGAACACAAACTCTGTTTGAAAATTCATTTATATTCTATCTACATATGTATGAATATTACTGTAATCGTCGAGAATAATCCAATTATGACGAAAAATAGTTTCATGGGCCTCGTTGGCAATGCAGCATATGTGTTTTTTGTCTATTTAGAAGTCCGATATTCATCGCTTGATTTTCATACTTACCATTATGTTAATGGTATTCCATTATCATGCGCCACTGTGGCGCAGCGGGGGGGCAACACGGCGCTGGGGACCACTGGAGCGCGAGTTTGAATTCCCGCCCAGTAGTACAGATATTAAAAAAAGCATCAACTCGGGATAACAGCCTCCACCTGCTAAAAACAAAGTCTTTCGAAGAAGGGACTGTCCGAGACCTTGCGAGGGAGATCGTAACGAAAATCGGATCATTGTATTTTCTATATCATTCCTCAACTATGGTATATATAAAAAAAAACATGTCGTGTATATGTTATAATACTCACCAAACACTAATGACATTGTCGAACTGAATGCACCTGGGATCAAATGACCGAACAAATGAACGAGTTATTTCGCATAGCCTCAGCGACATTTTCTGTGTGTGTGTGTGTGTGTGTGTGTGTGTTGTGTGTGGGTGTGGTGTTGGGTGTGTGTGTGTGTGTGTGTGTGTGTTGTGTGCTATAACATTTATTACGATTTATTTTCATTTCTTACTGTGGCTGTTTTTCCTTTTCATCCTTTACACACACACACACACACACACACACATTAGACATATATGTATACTATATCTTCATAATACCTCATATATACGCCACACCACACATATGACGATTAATCATATACATACATTAATTGTGTGTGTGTGTGCGTGTGTGTTGTGTGTGTTGTGTGTGTGTGTGTGTCACAACTGGGAGATTGCTCAGGAACTTCGGCGATGCGTATCATCAGCTCAATCGGTGGTCTTAGTCTCCACGACTAGCTCGACACACCTCGTGGGTTACGAGGGTGTCGGCTTTTAACAGCGGCGCGACGGTTAAAAGGAGTACCAAGATAAAACTCAACCGGTGTCACGTGACTTTGGTTGTGTGCTTCCCTTCCGCCATGTGACCTAGTCGCTCCGCTAGTCTCTACTTGCGGCAGTTGTAAATACTCCTTTTTTGTTAATGTATTCTTGTGCCATAGCTGAACACTTGGTGTTTTCCGTTGACCTGACCACTCTGATTCTTAAACTAACACTCACAATAATTATATATATATATATAATATATATATATATATATATCTATATATAATAATTATATTAATGTATTATATATATTACATATATATATAGTATGTATTTATGTGTGTATGTCTGTATGCGGTGCATATATATATATATATATATATAGATATATTATATATATATATATATTTATATATTATATAATACACGTAATATATTCAATATATATATATATATTGTGTGTGTGTTGTGTGTGTGTGGTGTGTCGTGTGTGTGTGTGTGTGTGGTGTGTGTGTGTGTGTGTGTGTGTGTGTTCACACACATACTCTTCTCGCTTCTCCTCTCTCTGTCTCTCTCTCTCACACACACACATACACACACACACACACACACATATACATAGATATAGATTGTATATATATACACTATATTGTGTGTGTAGAGATACATATAGATAAATGCATACTACATACATACTTACACAAATAACGCAGATACATAAATGTATGAATCATACATATAGCATACATACCTTGCATCCATAACACATTTGTTAGCAGTAAAAAAGAGCTTTGTGGAAGAGCGAAACAAGCCAGTTGGCACCATAACCCAATTAGGGTTTGCGATACAGCAACATTATTGTGATGCATTGGAGTTTGTTTAAAAATAGTAAAACACAGATTTGATCATCTGTATGCCGAAATTAAGAAGCAATAGAATAACATCTGCAATACATACCGCTGTCATTAAAAAAGAAAAGAGAGTAAGAAAGAAAAGAAAAGAAAATTAATAATGACACGGAAAAGTAAAGAGCAGCGTTTAATACAACCAAGAGATGGCGCTAATAGAGAGTACATTTTCGATTAAGTTTATAATCTTCGCAGTTTGTTAAAACGTTTGAAGGAAGAAGATTGAGTTCAAGAGAACAGTGCTGTGTAAAGACTGTTTAATAGTTTATTTCTATATATGTCTACACATCTTTACTTCTTATTTTGGACATGAACAAAAATAAGGGCTTATCATGTAAAATCTTTCCTCGAGTCTCCATTTTCTATATGCCATGCTTATTCCTCCTGGGAAGAGATTCAAGTTTCGACTTTTGCTATCTCAACTTATATCTTATCTCTCAGACTTCTATTTTTTTTGATACATATGGAAAAGTCAAAATCTGGTATTCACCATTTCGGTCTCCTGGGGGGGGTTTTTCCAATTCCATTGGCGTTGTATGGGCGGTCGTGTTCTTTCAATGTTCCATGTTTATTTCTGTGAAACCCTGTTCGGAGTAATAATGAAGTTTAACTGTTAGTTTTTTTTTTTATGTTAATATATATTTGTTTCCTTGATATTAGTTGTTGATCAAAAGGAAAGTTTACGGGTTTAATAACTTTCATCATTTGTATTCCCTCTCCTTGCCGCTGAAACCGCCTCCAAACGTCCGTAAGTGTAAATGGCACTAGTTCATTCGCCAATTTTTTGCCCATCTCGCTGCGAAGCCTTCCTATGCATTTTGCATGACAGCAAATGACTGTGGGGACTTTCCCTGTGCACGTGCTTGCCAATAGTTTTGCCGAAACATATGCCATTTGGGTTTCAATCTGTATTTTTAGGGCGGTATGGTGACAACAATTCTTTCAGGTGAACATTTGCCAATCCATTCTGAAGCATTTATACTTCCAGTTGAAGCATTGCAAACCCGCCTTGTAAACCACGGG